CAAACCCTTGTTTTTCCATAAACCAAGAGCACTGTTCCTCAGGTAATTATAGGATACACCCTCGTCAAGAAAGTATCCAATCAAACATGAATCCCATTTTTCTAAAGGGTTAGGCCGTGGAGGTAAATTCACACTAACATAACCCTCACTCCGAACAGGGGAACATACCTCAATGGGATGCTAGATCGAGTTGATGAAGCAGCCACATCGGCCCAAGTTTTTGTGGAAGGCTCACCCCCTTGACCTCTACCACCTCCTTGCCCTCTACCTCCTCTACTACCTCTGTAGTTTGAAGAGCCCCCCTCCTAGGGAACATCTCCTCTCGACCACCTCCCTCGCCAGAATCAGAAGGTTGGAAAGAAGTCTCTTCGATTATTTGCCCACCTTCGACAGGGACACGAACTTCGTCATTCTCCGTGTTGATAGGTAGATCGATCTATTGTTCACCATGGCCCTTTACGTCGTTCCTATTATGAGCAACCAAGATGCTATCTTGGAGGTTTTGAAACATAGGAGTTTCATCTTCCGGTCGGTCGGACCATCAAGAAGCCGATTGGGGACCATCTAGGGTAGACAGGGTCATTACCGAAGGAGATGGATCCTTCAATCTTGCCAATCGATCGGCAACTCGTTGAAAATCTGTAGGATCCACCATAGTACCTCTACGATCTTTTTGATTTAGGGTTTCCACCAAGCCCTCAGCGACGATTGACTTTTCTGAGCCCAAAACAATCTTTGTGATGCTATCCTCTGTTTGATCCATATTTGATTCACTCAAGATGTCAAACTTGTTACTCACAAACCCTAGGGTACCCTTTAAGTTTCCCTCCACTGAATCTAACACATTTATATCACTCACCCGTTTACTCGATTGATTCTCAGAACTAGACACAACATTAACTCCTAGCATCGTATTCAATGAGGGATTGAAACCCTAGAAACACAGGTTTCTGCAGAGATGCGAGAGCTTCTCATTCTAACCCATGACTAACTAATCTAGCTTTTTTCTTTTCCATGCATCTGAATTCGATTGGTGGTATGTCCCTAATCGGATTTAATAAATCAATTCAAGTTTCACTTTACATTATGTTTGCGTATTCTATAGCTAACAGTGACATTAAAACTAATAATGGATATAAATTGCAGGGTAGTGAATTTAATAGACTGCATGTGTTTGGATAATATCAATAGGAACCATGACAATTTTATAATTCTTCATTACAAACAATTAAAAAGAATAATTACATTTAATAGATAAAAATTATTTCCAAATAAAGAAAGATTAGTTACAAATAGAGCAAATGGATATGGATAGATATTAAATTTTTTTATTTCATAGGTATCTATATCTATATCTATATTCTATATATAATAAATAAAAAGGGATGGTTTTAAAAAATATCTAAGAGATATAATTGGTTAGAATGTTGTGAATTGACCTAACTAAATATTAAACGACTTAGATTGCTTGATTTATAATAAATTTTAATTTTTATTTAACACAAACCCACATTTTTACACAATCCCAAGTCAGGAAAAGAAGAAGAATGTGAGTTGTTTCACTAATATAAAGTGAATCTTATGCTTCTATTTAGTATTGTAATGTTGTGCATGTTTCAGTTCAAGACAATTTAAATTTTATTTAAAATTTTCATTATTAGTTAATTTTTGTATAAGTTGGTTGATCTTTTGACTTAACCGATTAGTTTAAATTGTTTTTTATTTGATTGATCCGCGGGTTTAACAACGATTTTATCAAAATACGTTGGCTAGTTTTAATTTCTAATTAACTTCTAACTTAAATAATTATTAACTTTTAATTTACACAATGCTACATCGGGGAAAAGAATGATTGAGTGAGTTTTTCACTTATACAAAGTGAACCTTATACTCTCATTTAATATTGTCACTACAAAAAATTATTGTTTTGGGGATCACAATTTAGGGACAAAATTATTTTTTAAGGACCAAATATTTTTATTGCAAAAAATGTTGTTATTATATTTTTAGCAACGAAAATTGGACATTAGTGATGAATTATTATCTATTTGGGATCAAATTTTCTGTCCAAAAAAATAAACCATTTTGAAACCAAATTATTTTGTCTCTAAAAGTCTATTTATTAGTGATATTTTTAAAATTTTGTCGCTAAAAGCCTTATTTTTTATTTTTCAAGACGACCTTTTAGCAACTATCCTCACGATGATAGAAATTGGTCCCTAAATGTCTATTGCAACAAAATTTTTACTTTCAAAGACCAAAATATTTGGTCTATATGTTGTAGTGTGTAGTGTTCATATTTTAGTTCAATACAATTTAAATTTTAAAATTTTCAATTAATTAATTTAAGTCAGAAATTAAAAACTAAATTTAAGTCAAAAAACTTAAATTTGATAAAACTGCTATATTTGATAAAAATTTCAAAATATATATAGTAAACTAAATAAATTTGGATTAGAAGTGTCTTTAGGCACGAGTCATTCGTTAATATATATACATATATCCTAATCGATGAGTCAATTGTTACACTAAACTGTTAAACTAACATTTGTTTTAACATCAGAGAAATCTTTCCATAATAAGGTGTCTGTAGTAAATCACATCTTTCCACTGGAATAAAATTTTCCTTTTTAGATATCAATCTTTGGACCACCCTTTTAAGTAAGAATGTGAAGAGTTGAATCTATCTTAGCTTATAACTCAAAATTGTTAGGCACAAAGAATTTGTCCATTGCCTAAAAAAAAACAAAAAAGGGTGTTAGAAATTGGGCGCCCATGTGGCATGACCCTTAGAACCTTTTGAACCTCATCCAAATGGGTTTTTGAATTTGAATTCAAACCTATTTGGTTTGTTTTAACATCAGAGAAATCTTTCTACAATAAGGTGTCTGTAGTAATGACATCTTTCCACTGGAATAAAATTTTCCTTTTTAGATATCAATCTTTGGACCACCCTTTTAAGTAAGAATGTGAAGAGTTGAATCTATCTTAGCTTATAACTCAAAATTGTTAGGCACAAAGAATTTGTCCATTGCCTAAAAAAAAAAAAGGGCAATGGCATAAACTTCTTCCATTCCTAAACAAAAGGTTTGTTTCCTTTTTAACCTTCGAATTTTGATGCATTGATTAAGATCTCTCGAATCGAGGTCATGTTCCTGTACAATTGATGTCTTCTTCTAACTCTAAACTCAAAAATTGGATCAAATAATGCACCATGGATGTTTGAGTAGGACAATAAATAAGTCGAATTGAGTCAAATAGTGAATTATTTAAGACTAGTTTTAACAAGTTTAAAAAATGAGTTGAAATTTTGTTTATTATGTTTCAAGCTGATCTCAAGAATAGATTCAAGTTTTTTATTTATTATTATTAGTATTTTAATGCAATTTTATAGTGAATATAAAATTATCGACCAAATTTAAGTTCAACGCACAAAATTAAGAATCATTAAAATATGTTCAAACTTAACTTTCAACCTAATAAATCAAAATCTCAAATGAATTTTTAGGTCTTATTTGATTAGTGAGATTAACAGTGAAGGGATTAATAATTCATATGATTAGTGCAGGAATAATTATCCAGTTGAATTAATGGGATAAATAGCTCCCTCTTGTTCACATTTGTTTTGCAATAAATATGAAAATATATAATCATAATTATATGTTTGTTTTGTGTTATTAATTGTATGATTAAAAAATTGTCAACTTTATTGAATGAAATGTTCGTCGGAATCTAATTCAAATAATAGAAATTGAAATCAAACACTAAAATGTGAGTCTTATAATTTAATAATTTTAATTCTATGTTATAATTTGCTCATTTAAATATGCCCTTAATGTATCAAATATGAGTCGCGCTCAAATTACTTGTGTCCAACTCATTTGTGATGTCTCCGAGATAGTAGATTAGAACATGGGTGTTGAAAGGTGGAGAATTCTGAAGATGAAGACAAAAATATACTACACTTTTCGACTAGTATGGACTGCAAAATGCACCTGATTATTCCTTTTTCACCATCAGATGCTGATATCTACAAAGGAATTAAGCTTTTTAGCAGTCTGCACCTTGTAAACTCAGTAACATTTGCACCTCAGAGGTCATAACTGTTTGACATGTGTCACTCAATAAATACCCATCATGGTGAGAGACAAAACTTAAAAATATTAACAATGACTCCCAACATCAATAGCAAAACTGGTAGAGCCTGGATACTCTCTCATCTTGGAAATTTTATTTTATTTTATTTTATTTTGGGGGGTGTTTGTTAAAAGCTGGTTGTTTGTTAGAACATTTTTTTCTGAAGCAACTGGCCAAACAACTTTGAAGTATTTTTCAAAAAATGGAGACATGCCAAACAGGAATATCTATATAATAGGGACTATCTTAAACTTCTGATTTCTAATTTTCTTATGTGGTAAAATTGAATATATATATTATATAATGTAATTTTAACCTCTCCTAATATTCAGAGAATTTTTAAATTTTTTTTAATGCCTCCTGTTTCAAAATAAGAGGTCTTCTTGTTTTCTTTTTCTCTTTTGGACCACGTTTTTGGAATCTTACGGTTTTTAAATCTACTTTGTTGTCACAATTATTCCTTTATTAGCTTTTTTTCTAGCAATTTCTTTCATATACCCTACTTTTCTAGATGCAACTTGCATGAAGGAAGGATAACTTAGAGAGTAAGACACTTTAATAATTTTTACTTATATTTATTTTCAGTTGATAAAGTGATTTTCAATGGTATAGATAATAGAAGGAATAATTTCAGATGTGTTGGTGTTGTGAATATATGCTAGCATCCCACATTACATTATTAAGCTACATATGCCATAACTGTATTCTATTATCTGAATTATCACTTAATACTTTACGAATCATAATTTAAAAGGCGAATATGAGATAAATGAGGAAACAATAATAATAATAATAATCAATAGTGTAAAGTGAGAAATGTGCCTTATGCAAGTGAAAACTACGCAATTTTTGCATAGTTTTCCATTTATATGATATTCTCCCTTTGTTATTGAATTCTTATCACTTATTTATTTATTTTGGGGAGGTTGTTAAAAGGCCGTTGGGGGAATGATATAGGTGTCATAAATTTGATTTATAAGGGCAAAAGTTTGTTAGTTAGAATAATAGTTTACCTTGGAGAGATTTGTTTTTATCTAAGTGTTTGGGGCCTTGGTTTTGTCAAATATATCATTGTTCATACCTATCCAAATAGTTAGTTAAAAAGGCTTGCTTAGTATTGTTGTTGACAATATTTATATTAATTTATAGTGATATATATATATATATATATATGTATATTGAGTCTTGTAGCAGATGAGGAAGAATTTTATGAAAGACTATTGAATTCAAGATCAATGTTCTTTCATCCATCTAATCTGCATCTTCCTCTTTATTTGATTCCTCACCCATTTTTGATTGGATCACAATACTTTCACCGACTTGCATTAAAGAGAAGCATGAATTTTGATACAGTTTTGTTTGTTTTCAGTCAAGAAGAGAGTTGAGTACAACTCACCTTTTTTCTTGTTACTCTTTCACTGTAAATGAACAACACCCAACAGATTGGTTTCCAAGAAAGAGTTCAACAAAACCATGGCTTGGTCTATGATTATAGCAGTTTAGAACACGCCAACCAATCTTCCCAATTTCCTGGTGGTTGTCAAATGGGAATTTGCATTGATTCATCATCAGCCATGGAGGGAGGAGGATCACAGCAACACAACTTTGGTTGTGGTGGGCATGCTAATTCATCAAGTACCATCATGAGTCGTATCGGTTCACCATCTTCTGCTTTTTATGCAACCGAGCGTTACATGGGCTTTCCACAATATGAGTATCAATCTGGAAATCCCATTGTCCCCTCCCAACAACCCGAGAATTATGATCTGCAAACTCCATCATATCTATCTGCAAGGGATAGTTTTTATTTCGATACACCAGAGCAAGATGACCCCAATTTGCAGTCCAAACATGCCCTGCAATCTGATGCGAAATCCCACTTTTGTAGCAATAAAAACTACAGTTCTGAAAAGATCCTATAAAACTCCATGCAACAATTTCTCAGAAACAGAACACATTTTTCTGCTGAAAAGAAAGTTGCTTAGTGATTTTGGTAATTCAGATATGAGGCAGCCTTCAATTCCTTTTGAAAGAAATCGGGATCTTAGTGTAAGTCTTTTTTTATAACTTCGCGTTCAATGCATTGATTCATGTATGGTGTTCTTTTATTTTATTTTATTTTTATTGGTAGCTATGTTTGGGTGCTTGGAAAATTAATTTGGCATCTTTTTTACTTCATTTTCTTATGTTTTCTCTTTTCTTTTCCTTTACCTCCACAACCCATGATCCAAAAAAAGGGATTAATCTCATCCTGGTTATATGTATGTATACATGACAGGTTTGTCACAATTTGTATAATTCTCAGCATGAGCATTTGAGGCAGTCTGCAGCTAGACCTGCTGGAGGTGTTTCAGTTACTTCTGGTAACTCTGGATCAGCCATTTCGAGTAAAACACGAATTCGATGGACTCAAGATCTTCATGACTGCTTTGTTGAGTGTGTAAATCACCTTGGTGGAGCAGAAAGTGAGTAGCTTTGACATGACCCCTTTGTGCAGGTATAGAAACAACTATTATTAATTGATCATTAACCCTTTTTTTCAATCAAAATTTTAGAGGCAACACCAAAGGCGATACTGAAGCTAATCGACTCAGAGCGGTTGACCATCTTTCATGTGAAAAGCCATTTGTAGATACTAATAACATTTTAAAGAACTTTGTTGTTTAAGCCCTGTTTGGTATCTTGATGTTAGAGATCTAACGAGATTGTTTGCCTTTCTTTTTCCATTTGCTTTGTAGAAATATCGAATTGCAAAGTACATGCCAGATTCTGCAGAAGGTAAATCTAATCCTGAATAACACTAATTGATCATTGAATTGATTTTGATCATTTGCGATAGTGTACTAAAATCTGATCTTAAGAACATATATAGGGCCTGTTTGTTACAATTTATTCGAACTTGAAACTCAATTTATAAGTAGAATCTAAAAAAACAATTCCTTCCCAGCTCAACGATAATTAGTTTTTTAACGTTATTTTGCCCCAAATTTGAAATAAAAAATAAAAAATTCATAAGCGGCATCAATAACTACGCCAAACAGGGCAATAGAGCATTCCAAAAAATTAAATCATGTCATGTATTGTTCTGATGAGAAGAAACTCCTCAGATATATATATACACTTGCAATTAGATGTGAATTATCATGCAGTTTTCCTCAACTTGTTCGATTAATTATGCATTTCATCTACTTTAAATATATCAAACACATCAATCAGGCGAGTCTAGGAATAAATTCTAATCTCAATCTTTCTTCCTTCGTCAACTGCAGGAAAATCTGAGAGGAAGAATAACATGAATGATGCAGCACAGATTGATATTAAAGCGTAAATTCTCAAAGAATCACTTGAATATAATTTTGAGTGCTAGTTTATTAATAATCACTTTTTCTTCCAACTTTCTGCATGAAACAGCCACTTCGTATATGACGCAAATTTTAATTTGTCTGGCAGTTGCTTGCAAATCAGGGAGGCATTACAACTACAACTAGATGTCCAGAGAAGGCTTCACGAGCAGTTAGAGGTATAGTATCTCTTTATTCTTACTGTTTTTTGGTGAACTTTTTTGTTTTTTGTTTTGTAATTTGATTTTTCAGAACTATTTCTGGAAACCGTTTTGGGGAAACTTTTCTTAAAACAACTCACTTTTTAGGAAACACTAATAGTTATTTAAAAAATTTTGAAGACTATTTTCACAGGAAAGTGAAAACCATATGAAAATAGTGGGTGTTTTCAAACTCTTCATTATTTTTGCTTCCGAAACATCAACAACAAAAACAAAAATGAAAATGAAAATGCAAGCAAACAAGCTAATCTTGTCTTATACGTTCTTTTCATCATCATCATCATCATCAGATTTCTTTTTCTTTCTTTTTTTTAATTCTTTTTAAATGTTTTTTCGAATAGATCCAGAGAAATTTGCAGCTGAGGATTGAAAAACAAGGGAAGCAGCTGAAGATGATGTTTGACCAGCAACAGAAAACAAGCAGCAGCCTCTTTGAGATGCATAATTCAAATAACACTTCCCCTGATGAGCCAATTGCTTATGGTTCTGGAAATACCCACTTCCCATCCAAAATAAGTTAGTTTCCAAATGCTACAACCACATTTTTATGTTGCCTTTTCCACATCCATATTCCATACAATCAATCACAATCACACATAGTGTTCTAAGAAAGCTCAGCTCACCTCCTACAACAGGATCAACAACTCCAGAAGCTACTCTTTGCAATTTTTTGTACACATAACATTGTAGTGATTCCTGCAGCTATATGAGGACAAGGGTGTCTTTGTAATTTGGTTTGCATATATCTCACATGTCTTCTGTCTTTTGCCCCTTCCCTTGTATGTTTTTCAATAAATGAGAAGAAGGAAACCTTCTTCTCATTATCATGGTTTAAATTTGTACAAGTACCTGTTGGGTTCAATTTGACATGGAAGTTTATTGTAACTATATCTGTTGGGCTTTTAGCTCCTTGTTAATGAACTTAATCAAGAGCAAGAGCATGGTATACGGTGGAACATGCAATAGGTTATCTATTGCTTGTAATTGCACAAATGGAAACTATAAAGTCAGAGGAATAGTGCAGCAATAATTCAGCAAAGAGTTTCTCCATAATTGAAGAATTCGTTCTACATGTAGATATTTTATGATTGTTTGCTTCTCTGTACAAAGTTGCCATATTTAGATATATTATATTGTGAATTGTATACTCAAGCATTATTATATAAACAGATTAGTCCCTCAATGATTGTGTGGACTATTTCCCATAGAATTCTGTTTCTTTACTAAGAGTTCTATTTCTATATGGTATCAGAGCATTGAAGGAGAAATTGTTTAATCCTTGTTCTCTTTTATTATGGCTGCAGTCTCCTCTTCGACATCCTTGACCACTCGCTATCCTTATCGATGTCAAATTAATGTCTCTAATTTTGTTTCTCTATGGTTAACTAAAAGTAACTATCTTTTGTGGAAGACTCAAATTCTCTCATTGATTGAAAGTCAAGAAGTTTTGGGCTTTATCAATGGAGATGACTCAACACCTCGAAGCAAAATCGAATCGGATGATGGGAAAAAAATAGATCCCAATGTAGATTTTCAAGCTTAGACCAGGAAGATTGTGAGACCCCTAACTTTTGTAAACCCTATTACATCCCTAAATTTTGAGTTATTATAATAAAGCCCTTAGTTCTTCATTTATTCATAAATTTAACCCTACAATCGAAGACGCATTGCAAATAAACCCATACAAAACTAAATCGACCCCGATAGCTTAGTAATCGTTTTTACACGCTAATGTTAATTATTTAACTATGAGGCCCCTGACCTTTGTAATTTTATTTACACCCTTACTTTTGAACTATTTCAATAAAGACCTTCATTCCCTTATTTATTTTCAATTTTAGTTGTAGAGCCGAAAACGCACGCCAACCGAAAACTCGCAAATCTTGATTGAACCCGGGAACTCAAGGATCATTCCAAATCCCTAATAATAATTAAATTAATTTCCTAATTATATTTTCCAATCAAAAACCCTAGGTTTTCAATTCTCATTACACCTCGTCGTTTAATTCGAAATAAAGAAACTTTAATCGAATTGAAGTTCCAAATCCTAATTAAATTAAATAATACACTTAAATAAATGTTCCAATACATGAATTAAACCCAAAGCCCTCAAATTTTTATTAAATCGCTAATTGACCCCAAACTAGTACTAATATATATATATATATACATGTACCTTTAAACCTATATTATACACTATATTTTGCAATTTCGAACAATTGCACACAAGAAAAAAATAAATTAATTCCCTCAAATCAGCCCATATAGCCAGCCACCCTAGGGAATAAAAAATATGCAACTTTTTCAAACCATATCCATGAAATCAAAGAAAGTGTTGGCAAGTACCCCCAAAACATGGAACCATGCCTCCACCCTAAGTTCAATCCTAACTAAAGCCTAACTAGATCATGATTAACTGTATAATTAAGGCCTCTAATAATTCACTATTCCATTAGGTTCTAGGTAAATCCAAAATATCCAATCCATTTCCAACCAATGGCAATTTGGACCTTTTACACCAATTTTATTATAAAAACACCACCACCCTCCACATGTTACACATCTTATACGCTCACACACCTACAAATTCGGTTGAGAAAAAGAAAGAAGAGGAAGAGAGTGAACTTTGGTAGTGGAGGAGAGGAAAAGAGGAGAAAATTGTGCATGCACTTCACCTAATATCAAGTAAGCCACATCACCATCTGTAATGCCCCCAAAGTGCGTATAGAAAGTTATCCTTATTTAATTAGGGGTTAATGTGCTTGCCATTGGAATTGAAGAATTATCCGTTGGATTATGCCTTTGAAACTAGATTGGTGACCTTTACCAAGCAACCTGAAAATTTTCCCTCCGCTCGAGCGGAATAGTTGGCGCTCGAGCGTAATTTTGGGGTTCCCATCAAATTTTGCAGGCGGCCTAAGATTCTGCGAGTTGTGATTTCCCGCTTGAGCGGGGGATTAGATGCTCGAGTGGACTACCTTGTTGGTCTGCGCGCTCGAGCGCAAGGTTGGGCGCTCGAGCGGGTCTCTTGGTTAAGTTTAAATTTCTGAGGCACGTAGGTTCGTTTTTGGACAAAGAACGACTTAAAACGGAGTCCGGATGGGAGAGTTATGCCTATTTGAAGTTTTGACATCTGTGCTGAATGCATGTACGCTCGAGCGTGAAGATGTGCGCTCGAGCGGGAATTACGGGACAGCAGCTTAAAATGAGATTTTTTGGATCATTTCTTACATTTTCCTTTTCCCCTCTTCATCCCTCTCCCCTAGGTCCGAAAACCCTAGGTCCTTAATCTCCAAAACCTTCCATTTCTCTTAGTTTTGATCAAGATCATCCATCAAAAAGTGAAGAAGCATGAAGATTATTATGTTCTACCGGTTGGAATTTCGAGATTTTGGTGTATTTTTCTCAATCCTTGCTCCTTTGTTTGATTCTTGAGGTAAGGGTTTTAATACTCTTCAATATTTACATCCATAGATAGATTTGAGGTATTTTCATTGTATAATGGTTCAATTTTCATTAATGTTATGTATATAGAAGAAATTATGAGATTTTGGGAATTTTGGGTTTGAACATTGGGGGGTTTTAAGGTTTGTGATGTTGGGAATTAAATTGATGGGTTTAAGTGATGGATTGAGAATCGTAGATGTAAAATCATTTGGAAAATTGGAATTAGGAGTGATGATTTAAGAAGTTTGATTTTTGTTAACAATCCTCTTTTTCCTTGAAACCCTAGGTTGATTATTGATGATAACCAAAGATTTAACCCAAATTGAAAGTAGAATAATGAAATTGAGGTATTGAATTATGTATATACAAGTTTAATTGGAATTTGGTGATACTTGGAAATTATGTTTAGAATTTGTGAATGAACTTTGTTATGAGCACTGTGAATCATGTCTTAATGAGAAAGGAGATTGGGGGGAAGGGTTTGTTGATGATGTGGATGATGTAAACTTGGCTACGGAATATTGAATTGAGTCTTAGCAATTTAATTTGAATTATGTGGAATTATATTTGGTAGTATTGAGTTGAATAATGTTAAATAGTGTGGATTATCTTGGATAGTGATAATTATGTGGGGTTATGTCGATTATGTCGAATTGTGTTAAATGTTGTTGAATTGAATTGTGTAGGGTTATTTGCAGGGACGGACCTAGCATCTAAACACTGTGAGTAGTAGTACGCTTTACCACCGCTAATGCTTGTCATTAGTATTCTGTTAATTTCGTTACTTATGTATGTAAAGGATTCAAGGAAGATAAATGTCATATGTATGTAAATGATTCAAGGAAGATAAATGTCATATGTATGTAAATGATTCAAGGAAGATAAATGTCATATGTATGTAAATGATTCAAGGAAGATAAATGTCATATGTATGTAAATGATTCAAGGAAGATAAATGTCATATGTATGTAAATGATTCAAGGAAGATAAATGTCATATGTATATAAATGGTTCAAGGAAGATAAATGTTATATGTTTATGTAAATGATTCAAGGAAGGTACATAAGTAAGAGAAAGAATGAAACAACCCTTCTATGATTCTGGAATTTTGTAAGACTCTGAAATAAGTTTGCTATGATAATGTTTGGGCTAAATGCCAATAAGTTTAATGCCAATACATGTAAGAGCTAAAGGCCAACAACTCTAAATAATCAAGAAATGCTCTAGTTATGATATGTTACGTTATGACTTAATGAATGTTCACAAGTTTACGTATGTTCTAAGCTCAAGTCTGTTACAAGATTACATATGTTATAAGTCAAGAATGTTACAAGTTAATATATGTGACAAGTTCAAGTATGCACAAGTTTAAGCAAGTTTGTAAGTTCAAGTATATACAAGTTTAATATGTTATAAGTTCAAGTATGTTATAAGTTCATGTATGCTACGAGTCCAAGTATGTTATAAGTCTATGTATGTTACAAGTCCAAATATGTTACAAGTATACGCCTGTTACAAGTCCACGCATGTTGTAAATTCAAGTATATTTCAAGTATGGTCTAAGTATGATTTCAGGTAAATTACAAGTTCAAGTATGTTTCAAGTATGGTTTCAAGTATATTACAAGTTCAAGGATGTTTCAGGTATGTTTCATGTATATGTTACAAGTTTAAGTATGCTTCATGCCATTTTCAAGGGCTTTAATGCCAACATGTTTACAAGGGCTTTATGCCATTACAAGTTACAAGGGCTTTATGCCACAAGTTACAAGGGCTTTATGCCACAAGTTACAAGGGCCTCGTGCCAAATGTTTCAAGGGCCTTAGTGCCATATGTTACAAGGGCTTTATGCCACAAGTCACAAGGGCCTCATGCCACCATGTTTCAAAGGCTTTATAGCCATTATGTTTATGTTGCAGGATTGGGCCTAAGGCCATATGAAATGAGAACAGGAACAGATTAACTACATGATCTTCGCATTTACTTATGCATTGTTATGTACTATGTTTAAATTGTGCATTTATGTATCATACTATTCACTGAGCCCGGCTCACCCTCTGTTATGTCTGTTTCTGTAGGTCACCAAACAGGCGGTCAGTCCTAGCCAAGACGTTGCTTTCTTTTTGTCAACCTCCATATGTCCAGGCACTGTTTAAGTCATTTAATTTCTTAAGTTGTCAAGATGTTGGTTTACTTATGAGTGTCCATCTAAAGTGGTTGTATATACCTTTCATGTTTGTTTTTGTATATGCCCGACTTTAGGGCTGGAACTGTAAATGCGTATGTACATATTCTGGGATATAGTTGAGACTTTACTTATCCGGTATAATGCATGTGATGAATGAGATCCTGGCATGTAGGAGTAGCTCAATGGAGTTTAATTGTTCATTATTATTTATCTATTTATTTTTTGCGCTTCCGATAAGGCCCCGTATGTTAAAT